GTTATCCTTAGCTCATGATTCATACAAATATTCTTAAGGCCATACATTGGCATCCAGGGTGGGTTTGTACATAGCAACCCTTACACAAGTTCATATGGCACATCGCACCTACATACATAACAAACTAAGCACAAAGTAAAAGCTCGTAATTGACATAGTGGAGTGACACAACCCCTGGAGACCTACCAGATGCCAAAATCGATTTGTCATGGGACAACCTTTACCACACAGCTTTGTGGCCTATTTATATACACATGGTATACAAATGGGTGAATACTTAGTGGGTGGTACAAATAAACAAAATCATATAATTTATATTTATCTTTATATGGCAAACACATATATAATATATATACACCATCCGTGCATCCAGATGCTCTGGCAAACATCTCCAAATATATGGCATACCATTATCCCTAAAGTCTCTAATGTGAGGGCATATGATCATCCTCAGTGTCTCCAAGGACTATCACGCACATCATTAGGCTTACCCTTGAAGCCAATCAAAGTTATTCAAATTATTCTTCACTACACACTCTAGTCGTTAGAATATCATATTAGATTCATATTATATTTATCTAAGTCTCTTCACTACTATCTCATGTCATATACAAGTCAAGTCAATGAGTGGTCCTCCTCTGGACATAATCAAATCATGACTGGTGGCCAACTAGCAAAAAATCAAATCACACTCAAGGCAAAGTTGCTAGTGAAGAACAAATCACACACATGCCAGAGCAACTGGCAGAGAACAAATCACGCATTGCACTACTATAGCTAGCGAAAAGTTGAATCATCAACTGAAGTAATCTTTTGACGGTTGGCATCACTCGGAGCATTCTCAAATGAGTGGCATCAAAGCACTATAGGTGGGACTAATATCACCATCCCTACTTACCACCATCCTTGCAAGTACACACATAGTCATAAAGGAACAAAACTACACTCAACCTCAAATCATATTGACGTAGAAAATTCATGGAATTCGTCCCTTGGATGAACATACCAATCCACAATAAGGCCATCATGCCTTTATCATTCCACATTTCCACAATATATATCACAAATCATGTTTATCAAGCTTTAATCGTTAATAGCTCGTTTAAGTTTTTAAGTGCCTCTATGTCTCCAAGGCATAATTAATCGAATACTCTTAGCATCACATTCGCGTAGGGTGATTTACTCTTAAAGGTTCATCATAACCTCTAGACATTCTAGTCTAAGATTGCACAACATGGCCATCCATATGGTATTGCACTAAGGCACATAATCTTAACACACATTATTCGCTCACATATAATATATATAAATACATATATACATACTTGCACATAAATCATCTATTCTCTATCCTAGGCATGGTCATCTAGGCCTACATACATAATATAATACCAGTGCAGGGCATTTTCCATGTGTCATGCATTACATGCATTTAATTAACCCACTCACAGTGACAAATTAAAGGTACTCCCAACCAAGATCTTTAGCCTCCAATCATCCTCCAGCTCATCAATGAGTTGATTTAACTCTATTTCCCCCTTCAAACACATCAGAACATCAAAATATTAATTATCCCTAGCTTTCAAAAAATGCCAACTTTTTCAAAATTAACCACATCTTAGCAATCCAAGTATTTAAGCTTAAATCCATTAACCATGAGCTAAGCCCCTACCTTAAAAGCTGGATTACATAAATCTTAGCTCCAAATTCTAGCCAAATTGGGGGGAGATTTACCTAAGCTAGAGAAATTGGATTTTTTACAATATAATCGATTAAATTGAAAAATAATTGATAACAACATTTAATTTTACCACAATAATGTTTCCCCAAGCTCAGGTTAGCTCTAAATTGCTCCAAAAATCCATTTGGGACTAAGGGTTTTAAGAGGTTAGAGAGGGTGTGAGAGTTAGGGTTTTGTTTAAAATGGGGAGGAATGGCTCGAACTTCTTTTATTTTTGGTTTTCTTCAATGATGTATTGATACATTTGGCAATTTATCGATAGATTTTGAGCAGAATGGCTTGCTACCCAACATGTATTGATACATGAAGGGAATGTATCAATACTTTTTTCCCTAAGTCCTCTCTGCTTTAAATGCATGATACATTTGGATAATGTATCGATTCATGTTCATCTTTTTGCCATATTTATTGATACATTCTTGAAAGTATCAATAGAAAATGCTCAAAACCCTTTATTATGTTGTTCTTGCCTTGAACGAATTGATACATTGAGGGATGTATCAATACATTTTCCCCTATAGGCAATTTTAAACTTCCCAAACTTCCAAAAATTCAAGCTTAACACCCTAATATCATTTCCTATTCATATCACACCTCAAATCATTCTTTAACTCAAACCCATACACATATATCCTCAATTATCACATCAAACACAAATCAAAACTCTAAATCATAGGATTCATCCCATATTTTTCCCAAAAATTTACCTAAATGTCTATATATACACCCTTAAACACTTGGCATACATAATATATCACCAAAGTCCTCAAAGTACCATATATTTCATAATTTGTTCTCAATTACCTTAATTTCTATAAAAAATTGAGGGTGTTACATAAGGAGTTTTTCTACATCTTGTGCTATTCGTGGTTCTGAATTTTTTAAAGCTTTGTGTGATCCAGGTGCTAATGTGTCATCGATGCCTTTGTCTACCGCTAGGAAGCATGGACTTAAGGACATTCCTTTAATCTTGGGATGAACTTTCTGGGTGACTACAAGCATAATCATCTATGTGAAGAAAGGCAAGATAACATTTAAAGATGGAAAGGAGGTAGTTGAATTCAATATTTTCAATCCAATTAAGCATCTTGCCATTTTAGTTAGTTGCTTTAGAATGGATGCGGTTGATGAAGGCAAAGATAAGCCTATTTCTCCACCTATTGATCGAGCACCAACCTTTGTGTTAAAGTCACCACCTCCACAAATCAACATCAAGCAATTGCTTGAGAAGCACCGTCCACCACTTCTTAGTTGTCTTGATTTTCATGTTGGACAACAAGTGTCACTCAGTAATTCTAACTTCAAACTTTTTCCATGGAAATGTAAGGCAAGATGGTTGGGTCCTTTTAAAGTGATCAAGATCTATCCATGTGGGATAACAGAGATAGAGAATGAGGCCACTGAAACGCTTATGGTCAATGGAATAAGCCTCAAGCTGTATGTTGTGAATAAAGAAATGCAGAATGGGGTGAATCAGTTAAGCTAGTAACTATAAAGAAGCATTTTTTGGGAGGCAACCAAAGTTTTTGAAACTATTAATCTTTCTATTTGAAGTTATTTTTTTCCTTTTCAAATTTTCCCATTAATGTGTTTTTGTTCTTTTTCTTGTTTAGATTTTTGTCACTTTAACGGATCCTCCTAACAACTTTAGATAAAATGAGGATGAAGAGGAAGATTAGAGGATTTTTAGTAGCCAGGGGAGTATTCTTGACTTTTCTTCTTTACTTTTTAACATTGAGGACAATGTTAATTCTAAGTTTGAGCCGGGGGGGGGGGAACCTTTTAGTTTTAACTTTTAGTTTCTTCATTTTGCATTTATGTTTTTAGACTTTAAGTTTAATTAAATTGTTCATCATTTAATTTTTTGCATATTTTAAGATTTTGAACTAGAGTTAGTTACACCAATTTCTTTTATTCACTTATCCAATGATGAAAAGTAGTTATCTTGCTTTTTTTTTCTTTGTTGATGTAAATATTATTTTAGTATTGTGTTGAACTCTAATGATAAGCATCATTGTAGGATGAGATTTCCTACAATTTGAGCACTATATCTCTTACGTTGAATTATTGTGTGCATTTAGAGAAGCCTTATGTGAATGTAAATTTTTGAATAATGTATGAGCTTTAGAATTGGTTTGAGCTTTTCTCAAGGCAAAATTCTAGGCTAGACTTAGTTGAGGAAATGACTTAGGCCATCATTGGACCGTTTGAGCCTTTTGACCCACCATGCTTTATATTTATCCCTAGAATATCCCTTTGAGCCTAATGTAATCTTTTCTTTGTTTAAACATTTCATTGTTAGCCTAGACCCTTGTATCAAATGTTTCAATTTTTTGCATCCCTCACTCTTAAGTGCATTAGTCAATTTAGGAAGTGTAATAAGATATAAAAAAGGTAGTGAAGATGATAAGTGATTAAAAGTTCAATATGTTTGTTTTCATCTCACTACCCAATAAAAGGAATAAGTTTAGAGGTCTGAAAATTGAGAAAGAAAAAAAAAGGAAAGAGAAAGGAGAAAAGGAATGAAGTGTTGAACAAAAGAAAATTTTGATGTAAAAAGAGTATATTGGGTGAAGGAAAATAAAGCTCTAAATAAGTCCTTGATTGACAATGTGCTCAGGTTGAATTAAGCCACATAATACTGCATGTCCTACCTTCACCCCAGTCATACATTACAAGTCGAATAAAGTTCTAAGGTTCCTTAATGAAGTGCTAGTCTACATTAGTGGAGAGAGAGATGAAAAGCAAACATACGAAACTCTAGACTAATTTGAATCTTACATGAGCATAAATTTATTTGGATTGTATGATGGTTCCTTGTAAGAAATTGCACACACTCATGAGAATTCATTTGAAAATGGGCTTGCTTGTGAGATGAAATGTGAACTTGAATAATATTTATATCTTGCTTTGAGTTGATAGAAATTGAGAAGATTTATAAGGACCATAAAGGTGACCATTGCTTTGGTGCAACTTGTAACGACCTCTGCCTCAATCGTTACTGACGTCCAAGACTTGCGAGTGAACTCGTCAAATCTTGAACAAGCCTTAGTTGAGATTCTAGACAATTTATAATCGACTCGCAACATCAATGCCATCGTTTACTTAAACCAAATATACACAATAATTAAAATGTAGCATTCAAATACCAAAAACCATATTTAATAACTCCCAAGTAATTTCAATATAATAATTGGTAATCATTACACAACCCTAAGTTTTAGCAAATACATTTCCAATAGACCTTATAAGTGGTTATCTTTATAAGTCTAACTATTTGATGCAACACGACCTCTATGCAACAGAGAGACTTGGAGTAGAAGTTTAAAAGATGCCATTACCTACGTTGCAGCTAGTCTCGATGTACTGAGCGATGCACTTGAACCGATTACTTATCTGCAAAAGGGAATAAGGGCGTGATTCTCACAAACTAAATGATCATCAACTCCGTGCGTAAGGTGTAGATGGGAAACAAGCTAAAGGCAAAAGATTTGAATTTTAAAAATATAATAATATATGTAAATAATTTAGCTCAAAAGGGAGGTTTGTGACTTATATGTAAAATCAGAAAGTTAATCAAGATAATCATTTAAATCAGATATCAAACCAATTCATGTAAAGATCTCTGCAATCAAAATCATTTAACAACTAGCTTAAAGCAATTTAGTATCATCATGCGTGCTCCCATAAAATCCAATATTAACAAAGCTTATATGCAATTTCATAAATCACCTCGCACGTAAGGAATTAAACCCAATGTCATCGTATAAGTAAGGGAGCTATGGAAAAAAATTATTTCTCACCATGCGAAAAACTACGTACGTGAAACCCAAAGAGATATACAATCACAGACCATGGCCCCAGCCATGTCTAACAACCCGTCGGTGACCCAAAGGTTCTCTAACTAGAGCTCACTCGTGCACAGGGGTCACACTTAACTTGAATGACAACCGACCTACACTCAAATCTCTTGATTCAGTAAAATCATTTAAAAAGTCAAATCAGGTTTTCAAATGATCATTTCAAATCATTTTCAGAATACCGATCATGGTAGCATACTAAAACCGCTTTTTGTAACACTTTATAATGTAAAACCTTTTGCATGAGGTTTAGGTGTCATATCAACATGGTGAGTATGAAATTCATTCATGAGTGCACATTACACAATCCATAAGGCACATTTCGACATAAATTGTATTGAAAAGTTTGTTTCCTGGTTTTAAATCCTTTACGTATATAAATTGTATATATATATATGGTCAAAGCAAATTTCAAATACTTTGGCATTCACAAATTCCTAGAATATCTACCAGCTCATGCTGTCCACAATTCAAATTTAAAATAAATCGACATGTTTATCAATCGTATAACAATATATATATGCATATAGTATGAAAATTTGGAAATCGACACCCCTTACTCACTATACAATAATGGGATGCTACATCGCTATTGATTCAAGTGCATATCTAGCTAATTTCTACTTGTCGGTCTCTCGTTACCTCCTCCGACATGCCACCGCAGCAAACTTTTCTTACTTATTTTCTCAATAGCAACCATTCAAACCCAAACAAATGGCGCCATATCAACCAATAATCCTTAACTAAATCTCATATTTTTTATCACATTACTCACAAACATTTATCACACAATCCATACACTTTAACCAACCAAAGCTTATGCAGCACAATATAGTCACTTTGCATGCTTACCTCTCGGTTTAAGCTTGAATTTCCATATATGATTCACAACTTCCTCACATCTAAGGTCACCTTTGCTGCCACAAACATAGTCAATCAATATACATCTCATTTTTTCCTTTCTACTTATGATTTCAAGACTAAACACTTACCCATTTCTTATTTAGCTCCAAAATCACCATGTATTCCAAGATCTACCTACATGCATGCCTCAGGTCCCTTGAATCCTTGTAGATTCTTGCGACCACAAACAAAATCATACATTACAATTGATTTACAAAGCATGCATTTCAAGCAAAAATGAAAATCTCTTTACCGTCCTTGTCTCGGGTTCACTAAGCCGATCATTCCTTTCTTTTTTCCTTGTCCTCCTATCTTACTTTCTTTATTTCTCCTTTTCTTTCTTTCTCCTTTTCTCTTCTCACTTTGTTATGGGCAAATCCCTCAAGGCAAAAGCCTTCGAAATGACTTTGGTTTCCCCATTTTGTTCACACATGGGCAGATTGCCCAAGGTTACATGCTTTTTATATCGTTTTCTTTCCTTTTTCTCTTTATTTTCTTTCATGGGTAGATTGCCTGGGGTGTGCATGGGTCGGTTTCGGTCGGTTTCGGGTCGGTTTTTCGTCAAAACCGACCAAAAATTTTTGAGATATAACCGACCGAACCGCAATGATATACAGTCGGTTTCGGTCGATTTTTTAGAGTGTCGGTTTCAGTCGGTTTTTGATGATGAGATCAATGGGTTCACTTAAGTTGACTTGGACTAAAATGGGCTAAAATGGTTAAAGATTAATGGCTAAAATGACTCGTGGGAGACTGGGAGGGGGGCAGGCCGGCGCGGCAGGGGGGAATCGAGACTCGTGGGAGGGGGGGCAGGGGGGAATCGGGACTCGTGGAAGGGGGCCGGGGGAATCGTAGGAGTGGGAGGGGGGGCCGGGGGAATCAAGTCGAGTCCGTGGGGGGGGGGGGCTGGGAGCCTGGGAGGGGGGCCGGCGGCCAGGGGAAATCATTCAAATCAACACAACACATCAGGAGTCGGGGGGGGGGGGGGTCGGGGGAAATAGTAGGGGGCGGGCACGGTAGCCGGGGTAGTCGGGCAGGGTAGCCGAGGTAACCGGGGGCTCGGTTTTTTCGATCGGTTCGGGGGGAAAGGATTCCCCCGACGACCGAGCGGATCAGCTGACGAGGCCGATCGGCACAACCGACGGTTGCAAAAACAACGTCGGTTACAGTAACCGACGGCTGCGGTCGTTGGACGGTTCAACCGACCGTTGCTCACTCCTAAGATTGCCCAAACCTTCATGTCTTTGTGTCACGTTTCCTTTTCTTTTATGTTATAAAAGTATAAGACAAAAAGCCTTGGCAACCTTTCCACCCGCCACCTTGTCTTGCCATCCTTTTTCATTTTTATTTTCTTGATTTCTTTATTCCATTCTTTCTCTTTTCATTTCTTTATTTGTTCCTTCTTCTCATTGGACCAACTCACTCCCCACTCACATTTCATGCACAAATTGTCTTTTTTGCTCATTGGTCAAACTCTATCCTAATTGTCTTCCATCCGTCACCTCATTTTCTTACTTTCTTCTTTATTTCATTTGCCATCTATTTCTTCCAATCATATTTCATGCACAAGCTTTTCTTTATATTTTATTTGGACACTCTTGGACCCGTTCAAGTCACATGCAACCCACTTTTTTCGTTTTTCATTTGACCATAAAATGTACCAATCACATTACATGCAAATAAATTTTATTCTTATTCTTTCTTTTACTTCACGTTGTGGGAGTCCCACATGTTCCTCACTAACTTCTCTTTTTTTTTGCATATAATAATTTACATGTAATAGTAAATTTCACATGTTCATTTCATACTCCGCATAATCTAACTTTCCTTGGTTAATAAATTCCCATTTAACTTTAAATATTGAAATTGCACATAAGTCCTCAAACGTTTTTTTATTTATCGTATTATTCTCCAAACTTTTATACTATATAATATGGTCTTTCCAGCCCTTCTTATATTCCAATTTCCTTCTATTTTCATTTCTTTACATGTGTACAAATATAATATAAGGTTTGCACCTCACCAAGGTATCACCATAATATTTAAATATGTACTTACACATTTGTGCTCTATTTAATAAAGGCGTGCGAGCCCCACTAACGTCGTTTTTCTTCAATATTCCCTCTTACTTCGTCTCCCTCACTTAGATTAGTATATAATCCTCCTTCATGACTACTCTCAACAATAATTAAAATATTAATATTTTAATATTATTTTATTAATAAAATATTATTTTATTTTAAAATTCTCCACATGTCTCCTCGGGTCCCAAAATGTCTCACTGTGCCTTTGTTTACTTACAAAACACCTTTTAACCTATTAATTCATCCTCGTTAAAAATATTATTATTTAATTATTATTTTCTCACGTACGAAAAATTTTATTTCAAAATATTCCTTTCACCCAGTACTGCTCTTTAGCACTTAGATTTTCATCAATTGACCCTTTGTCTTATTAGTTGGGTCTTGTTAACTCTTATTCAAGAATACGGGGTGTTACGCAACTTAGTTCTAGTTAGATGTTTTCTTTGTTTAGGTTTTTATTTCCTCTTATTTTAAGTTTTGCTTCAGGACAAGCAAAAGGTTAAGTTTGAGGGTGGAGCTATCAAGTGGAAAACTTGCATAATGCTCCCTAAATCCCTAAGTGGGAGGTAATACCCAAGGTATGGGTTGTGTATGGATTGAGTCTGCTTCAAATGGTAAAAATGCCAATATCCTTGATGTAAACTCTCCCATTTTTCTCCTAGCAAAAGTTTTATAAATAGAGGTACAGATGCTTTTAAATTCTTTTATGCATATTGAATTTCAAATGCATTTATGGGAAAATATTGAAATGAGATGATTGAACGTTTAGAAGGATTCATAAGGATATTTGTGAAATGTCATGTCGTTTTTTCAAAGTATGGTTTATTGCAAAAAGTCTTTCCTTTGGATTGTCCCCTTCCCCATATCCACTGACGAAGTTTTTGTAACTCACATGTTATTTTCTCATATTTTTGTTTTACTGATCAGTAGCTTGCTTCGCTAGGCACCTTATGGAGTAGCTTATCTCATACTTAATAGGTGTGATAGTGCCTTCTTTTCAGCTTTTCAGTGTCACCATACTTCGCTGTGTGTCAAGTCAAGTTTTTAAATGTTTATACTTAAATGGTACTAGTTATGTAACTAAGTACTCATATACTCATTGCTTTATGATTGTGAATATTGTGTTGAGCCTTGGAAATGGGTGGATATGAGAATGTTGAGACTATGGTGATAGGACTATAGCGATATAGGCACGAGATGTGTGCCGAACCACAAATGATAAATTTATAAATATTAACATGGAAAGAAAATGCGAACACACATTATGTTGAGCAGTTCCGTAATGATTTGAGATTGTTGATTTACGTGTACATCATATGTATGAATGAATGAAATTCTGCACATTATGTCAAGAAGTTCTATAATGATGTGAAGATGTTTATTTATTTGTAAATGGAAATGTAAATGAATGTGATGGACGACAAGACCATGCATTCTTGGTTAAGGCTTGCTTGGGCCTAATGGGATATACCCACGTAGGTCCATGCACCGATCATGTCTCGAAAAAGGGAAGTGACTTTGTATGAGTGCTTAATATGCTTAAATATGTTTCATGATCTCCCTAACTTTCATGTTTGAGATCTTGGAACGATTGAAATTACAAGATAGGTTCACAAAGTAAGGAGTTTACCTTAAGCCATTCAAAGATGAACAATCTCCATAACATCAAGCTTGATTCAAGTCAAGAATCTCAATTACAGCTCAATATTCGACCACAAGGAAGCCATACTCGACTATACGTGCATAAATGATGAGAAAATGAAGACCATAGTTGACTATAGAGCCTCCATTCTCCACCTTATGGTAGAAAGTTGAAAAATGGAAGAAAGCTATGCAAAAGTTGACCACAAGAAAAGCATAGTCAACTATTGATGCAAGAAAGTGGAAAACTGATAACTCTATTATATAGAGTTATTTGGACATATTTTGGAGACTTAAGTAACTAGATCTTTGAGATTTTAGGTTCAAATTTTAGCGTTTTAGATGTTTTTTTAGTTTAAGTTTGATTACTTGTTAAGTGACTAATTTAATTTATTTTAGTTAAATTTTATGTTGTTTTGTTTTAAACTACTTTAAGAGTAGTTATTGCTAATTGCTCTTATAGCTTTTGTAGGAAATTGACGAAAAAGGCTCATTTAATGAAAATCAGTGCAAGTATGACGATGACTTCATTCGTATATATTTCAGTATTTTGATCATATCTCTCTCTAAATAACTCCAAATGAGGTGACTCTTGAACCAATAGAATTCTAAGAAGAAAGGATACAATGTTTATTTTTATTAATTTACCCAGTTCTGATTGGATCACGATCAAAATATTTGTCAAAGTTGGAGCACTGCAGCAGTACTCAAGGACTGAATATGATGCGGTATTTGGAGCATATCTTTCAATCCAAGAGTCCA